ACAAAACAAACACCACACCCCCCCCCCCCCCACCCACCACACACCCACCACACAAAACACCAACAACACACCACACACACACACACACACACCACACACACACACACACAACACAACACGAACAACACACACACACACACACACCACACACACACACCACAAACACACACACAACAAAACACACACCCAAACACACACAAAAACACACACCCCACACAACCCACACACACACAAAAAACACACACCCACCCCAATAAAAAAACCACACACCACAAAAAACAAAACAAATAACCACACACAAAAACACAAACAACACACACACACACACACAACACCCCACAACAACAACTCAAACAAAACAAAAAACAACAAAAAAAAACACAACACACCCACCCCCACCACACACACCAAACCACAACAAACAAAAAACACACCACACACAAAAAAACAAAAAAAAAAACAACAAAAAAAAAAACAAAAACACAACAAAAAAAAAAAAAAAAACAAAAAAAAAAAAAAAAAAAAAAAAAAAAAAAAACACAACAAACAAAAAAACAACAAACAAAAAAAACAAAAAAAAAAAAAACAAAAAAAAAAAAAAAAAAAAACAAAAAAAAAAACGTTTAACAGTTGAAAAAGCAAACGTTCTAACCAGTTGAAAAAGGAGCGTCTAAACGTTGAAAAAGGATATATTGCAACGTGGCCGGTTTGTCAGTTGGTTAGAGCAGTGGTGCTAATAACGCCTTGGTCACGCGTTCAATCCTCGTACGGTGCCATTGTTTAATCTCGGGCGCAGCCACAGCATAGGGTACCTTTACTGAAAATCTACCCAAACTTCATCTTTAATTTGCAAAATTTCAACTTGGAAAAAATAGAGATAATTATCATTCTGCATCGTTAAAAGTAATGTTTAGGCTTGAAAAAGGAATGTCAACAATTGAAAAAAGTCAAAGTCTAACAGTTTGAAAAAGGACGTTCCTAACCCCCACAAAGGTTTATAAATAACAGGAATGTCTAACCAGTTGAAAAGGGAATGGTCTAACCAGTTGGAAAAGGGAAAGTTACCAGTTGAAAAGAGGACACGTCTAACCAGTTAAAACAGGAATGTCTAACCAGTGGAAAAAAAAAAAACAAAAAAAAAATAAAAAAGGAATGTTAACCAGTTAAAGGGAATGTCTAACCAGTTGAAAAGGGAAGTCTTAACCAGTTGAAAAAGGAACGTCTAACCAGTTGAAAAAGGAATTTTCTAACCAATTTAAAAATTAACGTCCTAACCTGTTGAAAAGGAATGTCTAAACCAGTTGAAAAACAAAGGAATGTCTAACCAGTTGAAACCAAGGAAAACGTCTAACCAGTTGAAAAAGGAAATGTCTAACCAGTTGGAAAAAGGAACGTTCTAACCAGTGTGAAAAAGGAATGTCTAAACCAGTTAAAAAGGGAATGTCTAATCAGTTTAAAACGAAACGTTCTAACCAGTTGAAAAAGGAATAATGTACTAACACAGTTGAAAAAGGAAACGTCTAAACCAGTTGAAAAAGGAATGTCCTAACCAGTTAAAAAGGAATGTCTAATCAGTTGAAAAAGGAACTATTAACCAGTTGAAAAGGATTGTCTAAACCTGTTAAACATGAATGTCTAACCAGTTGAAGTAGGAACGTTTAGCCTAACCAGTTAAACAGGAGTGTCTAACCAGTCGAAAAAGGCAATTTCTGAGCAATTAAAAAATGAATACGTGCTGACATGTTTAAAAGGAATGTCTGACCAGTTAAACAGGGAATATCTAAACCAGTTGAAGAGGAAAGTCTAACCAGTTAAGCCAGAGGAAGGTCTAGCCAGTTGAAACCGGAAAACGTCTAACCAGTTGACAAAAGACAACGTTCTAACCGTTGAAAAAAGGACCATCTAACCAGTTTGATAAAGGAATATTTGTAACATGGGTCCGGTTAGCTCAGTTGGTTAGAAGCGTTGGTGCCCTAATAACGCCAAGGTCACGAGTTCAATCCTCGTACGGGCCACTGTTTACTTTGGGCGAAAAGCACAGCATAGGGACTCATTTACCAGAAATACTTCCAATGCATCTTTAAATCATTTCACCCGCCATTGACGGTCTATAGACGTCAATCCCAAATCCGAACGTTCACCGCCATTGACGTCTATAGGACGTCAAATCGCTTTTTTTTCGTTTTTTTTCTTTCTATGGGCTCGTCAAGGCTTCTTGTGCATCCTGTGTCAACATTTCAGACCTGTAAACACTTTGGAACCGATCCTGTAGGGGCAGAGTAGAGGTGACACTGTGGCCGATCCAGGGCGGGGAGGAAGGGGCATGTGGTGCTGTGAGCCAGCAGCAAACAGCAGGAATGAGGAGCAGCGTCTAACCTGTTGAAAAGGAATGTCTAACCAGTTGAAAAGGAATGTCTAACCAGTTGAAAAGGGAAAGTCTAACCAGTTGAAAAAGGAACGTCTAACCAGTTGAAAAAGGAATTTCTAACCAATTTAAAAATTAACGTCTAACCTGTTGAAAAGGAATGTCTAACCAGTTGAAAAGGAATGTCTAACCAGTTGAAACAGGAACGTCTAACCAGTTGAAAAAGGAATGTCTAACCAGTTGAAAAAGGAACGTCTAACCAGTTGAAAAAGGAATGTCTAACCAGTTAAAAAGGAATGTCTAACCAGTTGAAAAAGGAACCTCTAACCAGTTGAAAAGGATTGTCTAACCAGTTAAACATGAATGTCTAACCAGTTGAAGAGGAACGTCTAACCAGTTAAACAGGAGTGTCTAACCAGTTGAAAAAGGAATTTCTGAGCAATTTAAAAATGAACGTCTGACCTGTTTAAAAGGAATGTCTGACCAGTTAAACAGGAATATCTAACCAGTTGAAGAGGAAAGTCTAACCAGTTAAGCAGGAATGTCTAGCCAGTTGAAACAGGAACGTCTAACCAGTTGAAAAAGCAACGTCTAACCAGTTGAAAAAGGACCATCTAACCAGTTGAAAAGGAATATTTGTAACATGGCCGGTTAGCTCAGTTGGTTAGAGCGTGGTGCTAATAACGCCAAGGTCACGAGTTCAATCCTCGTACGGGCCATTGTTTAATTCGGGCGAAGCACAGCATAGGGACTCATTTACAAGAAAATATTCCAACTTCATCTTTAATTTGCAAAATTTAACTTGGAAAAATAGAGATAATTGATCATTCCTTGTTTAAAGTAATGTTAAGGCTGAAAAGGAATGTCCAACAATTTGAAAAGCAAAGTCTAACCAGTTGAAAAAGGAACGTCTAACCAGTTAAACAGGAATGTCTAACCAGTTGAAAAGGAATGTCTAACCAGTTAAAAGGGAATGTCTAACCTGTTGAAAAGGAATGTCTAACCAGTTGAAAAGGAACGTCTAACCAGTTAAACAGGAATGTTTAACCAGTTGAAACAGGAACGTCTAACCAGTTGAAAAAGCAACGTCTAACCAGTTGAAAAAGCAACGTCTAACCAGTTGAAAAAGAAGCGTGTAACCAGTTAAACAGAAATGTCTAACCAGTTGAAAAGGAATGTCTAACCAGTTAAACAGGGATGTGTAACCAGTTAAAACAGGAACGTCTAACCAGTTGAAACAGGAACGTCTAATCAGTTGAAAAATGAATGTCTAACCAGTTGAAAAAGGAACATCTAAACAGTTGAAAAAGGAAGGTCTAACCAGATGAAAAGGAATGTCTAACCAGTAGAAAAAGGAACGTCTAACCAGTTAAACAGGAATGTCTAACCAGTTGAAAAAGGAAAGTCTAACCAGTTGAAAAAGTAATTTCTAACCAATTTAAAAATTAACGTCTAACCTGTTGAAAAGGAATGTCTAACCAGTTGAAAAGGAACGTCTAACCAGTTAAACAGGAATGTCTAACCAGTTGAAAAAGCAACGTCTAACCAGTTGAAAAAGGAGCGTCTAACCAGTTGAACAGGAATGTCTAACCAGTTAAACAGGAATGTCTAACCAGTTGAAGAGGAACGACTAACCAGTTAAACAGGAATGTCTAACCAGTTGAAAAAGGAACGTCTAACCAGTTGAAAAAGGAATGTCTAACCAGTTGAAAAAGGAACGTCCAACCAGTTGAAAAAGGAATGTCTAACCAGTTGAAGAGGAACGTCTAACCAGTTAAACAGGAATGTCTAACCAGTTGAAACAGGAACGTCTAACCAGTTGAAAAAGCAACGTCTAACCAGTTGAAAAAGAAGCGTGTAACCAGTTAAACAGAAATGTCTAACCAGTTGAAAAGGAATGTCTAACCAGTTGAAAAATGAATGTCTAACCAGTTGAAAAAGGAACATCTAAACAGTTGAAAAAGGAAGGTCTAACCAGATGAAAAGGAATGTCTAACCAGTAGAAAAAGGAACGTCTAACCAGTTAAACAGGAATGTCTAACCAGTTGAAAAAGGAAAGTCTAACCAGTTGAAAAAGGAATTTCTAACCAATTTAAAAATTAACGTCTAACCTGTTGAAAAGGAATGTCTAACCAGTTGAAAAGGAATGTCTAACCAGTTGAAACAGGAACGTCTAACCAGTTGAAAAAGGAATGTCTAACCAGTTGAAAAAGGAACGTCTAACCAGTTGAAAAAGGAATGTCTAACCAGTTAAAAAGGAACGTCTAATCAGTTGAAAAAGGAACCTCTAACCAGTTGAAAAGGATTGTCTAACCAGTTAAACATGAATTTCTAACCAGTTGAAGAGGAACGTCTAACCAGTTAAACAGGAGTGTCTAACCAGTTGAAAAAGGAATTTCTGAGCAATTTAAAAATGAACGTCTGACCTGTTTAAAAGGAATGTCTGACCAGTTAAACAGGAATATCTAACCAGTTGAAGAGGAAAGTCTAACCAGTTAAGCAGGAATGTCTAGCCAGTTGAAACAGGAACGTCTAACCAGTTGAAAAAGCAACGTCTAACCAGTTGATAAAGAAGCGTCTAACCAGTTGAAAAGGAATATTTGTAACATGGCCGGTTAGCTCAGTTGGTTAGAGCGTGGTGCTAATAACGCCAAGGTCACGAGTTCAATCCTCGTACGGGCCATTGTTTAATTCGGGCGAAGCACAGCATAGGGACTCATTTACAAGAAAATATTCCAACTTCATCTTTAATTTGCAAAATTTAACTTGGAAAAATAGAGATAATTGATCATTCCTTGTTTAAAGTAATGTTAAGGCTGAAAAGGAATGTCCAACAATTTGAAAAGCAAAGTCTAACCAGTTGAAAAAGGAACGTCTAACCAGTTAAACAGGAATGTCTAACCAGTTGAAAAGGAATGTCTAACCAGTTAAAAGGGAATTACTGTAAGTCTAACCAGTTGAAAAGGGAAAGTCTAACCAGTTGAAAAAGGAACGTCTAACCAGTTGAAATCTCTCCCTTCTGTAGATACTGTTAAGACCCTCTCCCTTCTGTAGATACTGTTAAGACCCTCTCCCTTCTGTAGATACTGTTAAGACCCTCTCACTTCTGAATTGTTCAAAATTCATTTTGAGGCAAAAATTTCAATATTTTTGCAGCAGAAAAATGAACGTTCTGTAACATTCCTCTAAAACCTTAAACCAACTTTTCTTTCTTCTCGGCGTCAATGTTCTTCATTTGATGCAGAGAAAAAGACTAAGGGTTGAAGATGGTACAAACTTTGTTGATGTTTTTGAAGTTACTTCAAAAAAGTCAACACTTTTCAGCCAAAGGTCATGAAGCGCTTTAAGGCTTGCAGTAAAGTGCTGCACAGTTGCAGTAAAGTGCTGCACGTTACAGTAAAGTGCTGCACGTTACAGTAAAGTGCTGCACGTTACAGTAAAGTGCTGCAACGTTGCAGTAAAGTGCTGCACGTTACAGTAAAGTGCTGCACGTTACAGAAAAGTGCTGCACGTTACAGTAAAGGTGCTGCACGTTACAGTAAAGTGCTGCACGTTACAGTAAAGGGCTGCACGTTACAGTAAAGTGCAAGCACGTTACAGTAAAGTGCGGCACGTTTGCAGTTAAGTGCTGCACGTTACAGTAAAGTGCTGCACGTTACAGTAAAAGTGCTGCACGTTACAGTAAAGGGCTGCACGTTACAGTAAAGTGCTGCACGTTTTACAGTAAAGTGCTGCCACGTTGCAGTAAAGTGCTGCACGTTACAGTAAAGTGCTGCACGTATGCAGTAAAGCGACGTACGTTTGAGACAGTTCTGATGAAGTGGAAACGGGTCAAACTGCAGACAGTTTATGGGCGACACGGTGGGCTGAGTGGTTAGCACTCTCGCTTCTCAGCAGAGGCTTCGAATCCCAGGCGGGTCAGGGCCTTTCTGAGTGGAGTTTGAATGTTCTCCCCGTGTCTGCGTAGGTTTCCTCCGGGTGCTCCGGTTTCCCCCTACCACTAAAAACATGCACAATAGGTCAGGCATGAGCCTCCTGTAGGCGACTGCTCCATCTCTGTCCACAACAATTGTAAAGCGACAAAATAAATATTTCTTAATTACTTAAAAGGAGTGTGAGGCTTAAGCTTTTTTATAAATAAAGACAAAAATGATAATTCTACTGTTGGTAAAAAGACCATTTTTGTCTGGACCAATCAGGGTCCTCCTCCTTTCAGCATCTGCGACGTCACCAAGAGAGAAGTTAGCTTCATTAGCTTTGTTAGCTTCATTAGCTTCGTTAGCTTCAGACCAAAACTGTGGAAAACCTGCTTCAGCTTATTGTTGTAATGAGTTCAGCTTCAACTATTGTTGCTTCTATTGTTTCATAAGAAATCTATACATCGTAAAGAGTCTGTCTGTCTGACCACCAGGGGGCGCTCCAAGGAGGCGGTGGAACGCCTCAGGGTCATCCTACTGTCGGCCTGATCCCGGTCTCAAACCCTAGACTGTTCTCTGTGATGTTAGTGCTTTGATCAGTGACATCAGCCTAAACCTTTTCAGTCATTATTTCAGGAAAAAATTACTGTTGTATTTGTTATTTTCTGGAGGATTTGAACCGGTTTTAAATACAAACTGAATGGGTCGATGTTACAGGACATGGAGCTGTGGGGAGATTCACAGTGAGATTTTGTAAAAACAAATGCATTTACTCCTCTGAAAGCAAAGTATGTTAATATTTAGTTTCTTCAATAAAACTTTTTACATTGCGAGGAAAAACTGGGATCTTTTCGTAAAAACTTAAGGTAACTGTGTTATATTTTAGTGGCCATCTAGCCTGAGATCTTATATTGCAGTCTGTTCTGCGGGTGGCCTTTCAGTTGACGGGAGAACTGTCAAAGACAAAGCTCCCTCAACTCTCAGTCATTCACCACACTGCCAAGGAAAGAAACTTTAGTTTGATAAAATGACCGATCTCTCCAAAACATTTTGGCCCGAAAGGGAGGGAAAAATACAGACGTGAAAAAATGCGTACTTACTTTGCATGGGACAGAAGTCACACTGTGTGTGTGAGTATCAAGTGTTGTATAGAGCTACAAGTGTGTTTAGGAGGACCTGTGTGTGAGTACAAAGTGTGTGTAATGAGTACGAGTTTGTTTATGAGTACAAGTGTTTTGAGGACCTGTGTGTGAGTACAGAATGTGTTGTATGAAGTCCAAGTGTGTTTATGAGGACCTGTGTTTGAATTCACGTGTGTTAATGAGGACAAGTGTGTTTATAGGACATGGTGTGAGTACAAGTGTGTTTTAAGAGTACAAGTGTGGTAAGAGTACAAGTGGTGTGTGATGATTACCGTGTGTGTGAAGTACACAGTGTGGTGTGAGTACTAAGTGTGTTATGAGTACAAGTGTGTTTTATACGACCTGTGGTGTGGTACACTTGTTGTGTATGAGTACAAGTTTAGTTTAATGCGTTACAAGTGTGTTTGAGGACCTCGTGTGTGAGTTACAAATGTGTGTAATGATACAAGTGTGTTTATGAGGACCTGTGTGTGAATACATGTGTGTTATTGAGGACCAGTGTGTGTTTATGAGACCTGGTTGTGAGTACAAGTGGTGTTTATGAGAACCTTTGTGTGAGTTCAAATCTGGAAGTTGGAAGCAAGAATTGAGGAAAAATCTGGAGAGTTGGAAGCAACTTCCAGGATTTCTGCTTCCACGATTTTTTTTCGATCCAGTTTGAGGGGGTTCCCAACTCATGCAGAATCCCAAATTCAGGCTCATGAGATGACATACACATTCGCAGACCGTTATCTTGTAATATTGCTTGCAAAATCTTCAATATAACCTTTTGAAATCAGGTTTGGTATCTGTCATTTCTATTACTGTTTTAACATTGGTTTTTGTCTCTTGTTGAACTAAAAGGACCTGCAGAACGAAGGGCTGTGTTTGCGGCCTCTCTGCAGCTTCTGGGGCTGGGGAATTCTGACAAATTACTGCACCGTACATTTATTTTATAGCCTGACAGTTTCCCAAAATCTGCAAATGCTGACATAAGAGCTGGTATAGATGTATTGGGATCCGACACATATATTAAAACATCATCTGCGAATAGTGAGATTTTTTGCATCCCTCCCACCATTTGTATTCCCTTAATATTTTCATTTTGCCTTATTAATTGACTGAGGGGTTCCAAAAAAATAGCAAAAAGCAGAGGGCTTGCCGAGCAGCCCTGCCTACAACCTCTATTCAATATAATCTTCTCTGATAAAGACCCATTAACCTTTATCCTTGCCGTTGGACCAGAGTATAATGCTTGTATAGTCCTAATGAATGTATTTTGGAAATTGAATTTTTTTAACACCCTATATAGAAATTCCCACCCAACTGAATCAAAAGCTTTTTCGGCATCCATCCCCATTATTACTGCTTCTAATCGTCTGTCCTGTATATGCTGCATCACATGTAATGTTCTTCTGATATTGTCCTGTGTCTGTCTCTCCCTTTTATGAAACCTGCCTGGTCTAACTGGATAATATCTGGCAATATATTTTCCATACGGCGGGCCAATATTGCTGTAAACAATCTATAATCTTGATTTAAAACACTAATAGGTCTGTAACTGGCACATTCAAGCCCATCTTTTCCTTCTTTTGGGATCACTGATATAATGGCTTCCTGCCATGAGCCTGGCATCTCTCCTTTTTGTAGCACCCAATTGAATGTTTTTTGTAAAATTGGAACCAGCTTGTCTCTATATATCTTGTACCATTCTGAGGTATATCCGTCTGCTCCTGGGGACTTGTTGGTTTTCAACTTTGAGATTGCAGAGTTAATTTCTTTTTCTGACGTCAAGGTTTCATTCTGCTCATCTGTTACTATTGGCAATGTCAATTTGTCTAAAAACGTGTCCATCTTTTTAGCATCTTCCACATTTGATTTAGCATACAAGTTTGTATAATATGATTCAAAACACTTTTGAATGTCCTCAGTTTTATATTTCACTTCTTTAGTCTTGGGATTTTTCATCCTATAAATGTTATTTATTGCCTGTTCCTTTTTCAACTTGTAAGCTAACAACTTTGTTGATTTCCCCCCTATCTCATAGTATCTTTGCTTTGTAAATAATAGTTTTTTCTGTAATTCTTCTGAGTAAATTTCATTTATTTCTGCTTTTTTCTTTTGTAACTTTTTATATATCTCTCTATTATGACTTTGCTTGTGCTCTTGTTCAAATCTTTGCAATTCTAATTTTAGTGTTTCTAGTCTCTTTTGCTTTTGTTTTTTCAAGAATGCTGATTTTGCAATCAATTTTCCTCTTAATACAGCCTTACATGCATCCCATAGTATGGGTGGGGACACTTCACCATTATCATTCTCCTCCAAAAATCTCTCAATGTCTACTCTCAATTCCTCTTTAATGTTTCCTCTCAGCAAATTGGCATTAAGCCGCCAGAGTGTTCTTTTTTTTTCAGGTGTCAAAAATAGGGTCATGTGCACCGGACAATGATCCGAGAGATCCATTACCCCTATTTCACAATTTTCCACCCTGTACCTATCTTTGTTATATATAAAAAAATAATCAATTCTTGAATACATTTTATGTGGAGAAGAATAAAAAGTGAAGTCCTTAGTTAGAGGATGCAAATCTCTCCAAACATCCATAATAGCAAGTTCCCCCATCAAATCTCCAATGTTTTTGGCTACTTTCGTTTTTAATGACCCCACTGATGTAGTATCCATTTGGGGATCTAACCTTTGATTTAAGTCCCCTCCCGCTATCATAATTCCCTCCCCTTCAGATGTCATCAAATCAAATATTAGTCTATAAAAAGACCAGTCTGAGCCTGGTGGTGCATATATATTCAATAAGCTAATTAATGTTCCCTCTATTCTCCCTTTAACCAGTACGTATCTTCCCTCCTTGTCACTTATCACAGATAATTTTTGAAAGGGGATTTTTCTTGATATTAAAATAGCCACCCCTCTTCTGTGACCCGTTTTATATGAAGCAGCATATACCTGAGAATATCCATTTCTCTTTAGCTTTTCATGTTCTTTTTCTGTAAGATGGGTTTCCTGTAAAAAGGCAATTCCCACTCCTTCCTTCTTTAACTTACTTAAAATTTTACTTCTTTTACATGGGCTTAAAACACCATTCACATTATACGAGTAGATCTTAATGAAGTTGTTTTGCATTCAGACAATGAGAGTTTGAGATTACTATAATAATTCCCCCTGCTACTAGAAGAACAAACAATGATATCGAACTTAATCATACAAACAATAACAAATAAAAGAAACTCGGCTTCCACACCTGAGGTCGTTTCGTTGACCCTAATTGAGTCCAACTGTGACTCGGGGGAAAAACCTCTGACGCTAAACCCCCAGAGGGCCCCCTCGGTACTAAAGTACACACACATGTCTCTTAATGGCAGTCTCGAGAGAAAAAACAGTTCCGACATGTTTTATAATCAAATGGAGAATTGAAATGAGTCTTTTTACTAGTAGTTCTTTCTCACCTTCCTGAGTTTACGTCACTCCATAACTGATCTTCTGTAAACGTCGAGCTTTTGCATGTATCCAGGTCGCGCGTCCGCCCGACGTCCTCTTCCCTCAGCCCGACTCCAGATGCGACTCATCTTCTCAAACCTGTCCTCTTCTGGTGGCACCACCGAGACCTGGTATCCTCTTGTGGCCATATCCTTAGTCGCCTCCGCTGCTGTGTTGTACATTTGCGTCTCCCCATCATAAAAGACACGAAGTTTTGCTGGGAATGGCGTCTGGAAGCGTATTTTACGTTCCCTAAGCACTCTCTTTGCCTCCGTATATAGCTTCCGCTGTTTCAAAATCTCCGGTGCATAATCGTGGTCAATTATTATCTTCCTTCCCTCATACATGAAGCCCTTTTTCTGCCACGCTGCCGTTATAATGGCTTCCTTGGTTCTGTAACTTTGCAGCTTTACCACTATTGATCTTGGCGGGGCCTCATTCGGTGGTCGAGCGGCTAAGGCTCGGTGGGCTCTTTCGACAATGAGGTCAAGTGACGGCGCCAGGTCCAACTTCTCTTTCAGCAGGGTCACAATAAAGTCAATCATTGACTGAGACCCTTCTTCAGCACCTTCTTTTACCCCGTGAATCCTGATATTGTCTCTTCTGGAGCGGCTTTCTTGGTCCGTCAGTCTGGACAAGGTTTGCTTTTGCAGCTCCAGTAGCTCAAGAGTAGCATCTTCAATCATCTGGATGCGCCCCTCCGACTCCATAATGCGCCTTTCTGCCTCTTCAACTCGGATGTTCGTGTTTTTAATGTCCTCTTTTAGCTCCTTGAAAGATTCTGCATTCTCTCTTCGAAAATCCTTAATTTCCTGAAGTACAGTTTGGAAATCAGCCATCGTTTCCAGCGGCTGCTCCCCTGTTAGCTTACTCGCGGCTAATGCAGCTGCTAGCCCAGGTTCCGCAGGGCACGTTGTAGC